TAAGCCACAACCTCGTGGCGATACATAGATTAATGAAGATGGGTTAATTTAAGATATGAGTTATCCAGAAATATGCTTAAGTTATTGGCCAAATAGTATTGCAGGTAATATGGTTTCTGTAGCATCATTTTGGGGCTGAGCAGCTGGAAATGAACAAGGGGCCTCCTATGACAGGTTCAGATCTAAACAAAGAATTCTCAACAGAAGAAATTCAAATGGATGAAAGGCATTTAAGGAAATGTTCAACATCCTTAGTCATCAGGGAAATTAAAATTAAAACAACTCTGAGATACCATCTTACATGTATCAGAATGGCTAGGATCAAAAACCCTTATGACAACTTATGCTAGAGAGAATGTGGATTAAGGGAAACACTTTTCCATTGCTGGTGGAAATGGAAACTTGTACAGTCCGTTTGGAAATCAGTATGGCAGTTTCTTAGAATATTGGAACTCAATCTACCTCAAGACCCAGCAATAACACTCTTGGGCATATTCCCAAAGGACACATAATCATACCACAAGGACGTTTGCTCAACTATATTCATACAGCATTTTTTGTAACAGCCAGAACCGGGAGACAATCTAGATGCCCATTAACTGAAGAATGGATAAAGAAAATGTGGCACATTTACACAGTGGAGTATTAGTGGTAAAAAAAAAAAAAAAAAAAAAAAACAATGACATCTTGAAATTTGCAAGAAAATGGATGTAACTAGAAAAAAAAATCCTGAGTGAGGTAACCCAGACCCAGAAAGACAAACATGGTATCTGCTCACTCTTATGTAGATATTAGATGTAAAGCAAAGGATAACCAAGCTACAATCTACAGTCCCAGAGAAGTTAGGTAAAGAAGGGAGGACCCTAAGAGGGATACACATGCAGGGCCCCAGGGAGAAAAATAGTTAATATCTCCTGGTTAAACTAGAAGGGGGATAGAAGGATAGGGGTGGGGGATGGGACGTGAGGGATTAATAAGGCAGAATTGGGGAGAGTCAGAGGGGGTAAGCAATGAAAGGGATATCTTGATAGAAGGCGCCATTATGGGGCTAGAGAAATTCTCGGGAATCCACAAGGATGATCCCAGGTAAGACTCCAACAATAGTGGAGAGGGTGCCTGAATTAGCCTGTCCCTGTAATCAGATTGGTGACTACCATAATTGTCATCAAAGAACCTACATCCAGTGACTGATGGAAGCAGATACAGTGACCCACAGTCAAACACTGGGCTGAGCTCCCAGAGTTCAGCTGAAGAGAGGGGGCAGAGATCATATGAATAAAAGGGGGTCAAGAGCATGATGGGAAAATCAGAGACAGCTGACCTAAGCTGATGGGAGCTCACGGATTATGGTCTAACAGCTGGGGAACCTGCATGGAACTGAACTAGGTCCTCTGAATGCGGGTGATAGTTGTGTAGCTTGGTCTGTTGGGGGGACTCCTGGCAGTGGCACCAGGATCTATCCCAGATGCATGAACTTGCTTTTTGGAGCCTGTTTGCTCTGATGGGATGTCTCGCTCAGCCTTGGTATGGGAGGAGGGACGTGGTCCTGCCTCAGTTGGTATGCCAGACTTTGTTGACTCCCCAAGTAAGGCCTTACCTGCTCTGAGGAGTGGATGGGGGTAAGAACGAGGGGGTGGGCGGAAGAAGGAGGGAAACTGTGGTTGGTATGTAAAATGAAAAGTAATTTTTTAATAAACAAAAAAAGAACATCCTTATATCCATAACCCAAGCCCCATTGTCACTTGTATATGCTTGTGAATACCCTCTTCTACTCTGGCTTGTCATTTTACTCCCATGATGCTATTTTTGGTGTCTAGATACTCCTGGGTTTAGTGTAAACCAATATTTACAAGGAACTTTCAAGAAAAATTCAAAATTTCTTGAACTGAATAAAAATGGAAAAGCAACATTTCAAGATTATGGAGTGATTCCAATACATGGCTTAGAGGGCATTTGCACTAAATACTTTGAAAATCAAGGGTTGGCAAGCTCACTCTGTGGTTAAAACCACATCCTGCTCTCGTAAAGGAACTGAGTTCCATTCCCAGCACTTACGTTGGGCAGTTCCAGGGACTCGGACTTCTGGCCTCTGTGCGCATCTGAACTCATATGTACTAACCCACATTCACATGTACATAGACACATAATTACAACAAATTAAAATATATATACTCTCACTCAGCCTTAAGAGGCTTGAGATAGGGTTAGGATTAGGCTCAGTGGTTGATACGTACCAATTGAGGCAGGACCACATCGCCTTAGAGGCTGGCCTGACCTGTATAGTGAGTTCCAGAACAACATAGGTAAAATAGCAAGAACTTCTCCAAAAGAGGTGGGAAAAAGGGGGAAAGAGGGAAGTGGAGAAGGTCTATCTTACAAACTGAAATAGGACAAATCAAAGCAAAATTAAGTGAAACAATAAAAATTATAAGAAACAAAAATCGGGGAAGTGGAAACCATTAAGGGACTGGAGTGGTGGCTCAGTGGTTAGGAGCACCTGTTGTCCTTGCAGAGGACCTGGGTTTGATTTCCAGCACCCACATGGTGGCTCATCACCAATCCAGTTCTGGGGTCCAGTAATGTCCTCTGCTGACTTCCAAGAGCACATGCATAGTACATATGTACACATGCAAGCAAAACACTCATGTACTTAAAATATTTTTTAAAATGTTGAAAATGGTTAAGATCAAAAGTTGGTTCATTGAAAAGATAAAGAAAATTAAATCTCTTGATAACAATTTGCTGTTTTCATGAAACATATTGAGAAGGTTCCTCTCCACTTCATGTCGGCTTTGTTTTGTTTTTCTTGTGTGTGATACAGGGTCTACCTAATACTGCAGCCCAAGCTGGCCTTGACTCAATTTCCCTGCCTCATCCTCTCCAGTGCTGGGTTCCAGAAGTAAACCATCACCCTTGGCTTTTTTTTAACTTATTCTTTGGAAGGAATCAACTGTTGGGAGAATTTGCCAGCGAAACTTATTTGGGGCTTAGTGTCTTTATTAGATATAAGAATATTTATATTTTTAAAAATTCTTCTGTCAGTATTTGCAAAGTATGTTTTTAAAAACAGCATATCTACTTAATTTTTTAAAAATAAAAATTGAAGGCATGGGTTTATCATCATATTATTACAAATTTCTAAATGGACATTTGATAATGATGTCGCTTTTAATATTTTATTTTGTGTATTTTTTATATTAGTCTTGGTCATGTCTTTTGAGCATTATTGTTTTGTTCAACTGTAGATTTAACCTCTACCTTACCTATTTTTTTTATCCTTTCTGAGTTTTCTCCCTATTTTTGTTGGTTAACTCTACCTTACTTACTCACTAGTTTTTAAGAGAATTTTACATTATGTTCATCTGTTTATTTAACTGGAGGGCACATGTGTCATAATGTCACGTGGGTCCTGAGAATTGAACTCAGGCTGTCAGCACATGCCCTTTACCCACGGACTCATACTGCCCTCCCAACTTTTTAGGTTTCTGAGACAGGGTCTAGCTATGTAGTCTAGGTTTCTTTAAGGTCTGTGGGAGTTACAGTGTATTTCATCATTTCCAAATGTTTGGAGAGTTTTCTCCTTGACTTTTTATTAATTTGTAGTTTTACCTCACTGTGGTTGGGGAAACCTTGATATTGCAGCTTCTCAATTCCTCAGTGGCTTTCCAGGGTCTTAAAAAAATGTTTTCTACGCATGCCTGCTCTGGGGTTGCTCTCTGAAACAAGTTCAATACAAAGTAGCCAATTTAGCTGTTGCCACATGAATAGCTACCACCAGTAGATAGTGACGCTGCCACAACCCATAGATCACCAGGATCCCATTTCCTGTCAACAGCAAAAAAGCCACAAAAGTATCCCGAGTCCAGCAGCTCAGCCTTAGGAATCCTTCTTTGCCCCACAGCCCCTGTTCTTCAGCTAATATGTTCTTTTCTGCATTTATTGTTGCTGGCAGGATCCACCTTTCCTTTTCTCTGTTTTTTTAAAGACAGATTCTTGTGTAGCCCAGGCTGGTCTTGAACTAGTTATGTAGCCAAAGATGACTGAACTTCTAGTCCTCCTGCCTCCACCACTCTGGTGTAGGAAGTCCTTCTGTTTATGTGTTGCTTTCATTGGGTGAATAAAGAACTGCCTTGGCCTTTTGGTAGAGCAGAACTTAGGTAGACATGGAGAAGACAGAACTGAATTCTGGGAAGAAGGGCAGACAGAGAGACGCCACGGATCTCCTGCCTGAGACAGACGCTGGTTAGCATCTTGCCGGTAAGCCACAATCACATGGCGATACACAGATGAATAGAAATGGATTAAATTAAGATGTAAGAATTAGCCAGTAAATAGTTAGAACTAATGGGCCAGTCAGAGTTTAAATGAATACAGTTTCTGTGTGGTTTTTTTCAGGTGTAAGTTAGCCGGGTGGCCAGGACAACAAGCAGCCTGCTCCTCCTCTTACACCACTCAGTTGTTTAGTCAGCATGCAAATGTCTGCCATCACACCTATTTTTTTAAAGAAACATTTTTATTAGCTTATTGAGAATTTCATACAATATATTTGATCATTTTCATCCAACCCTTCTAAATTACCCCAAGATCTGCCCCTATCTCCATACCCTTGAATTTTGTGTCCTCTCTTTTTATTTTTAATTTAAAAATCCATCTACTCCAACCGTGCTGCCAATATATGTGCAGCTATGGGAGCATGGTCAATCTACTAGAGCAATACCCTTAAAGAAAACTGACTTTTTCTCCTCCAGAAGCCAGCCCATCCACAGCTCCACAGCTAGGGATGAGGCTCATGAACTCCTTCCCCTCCATGATAGGATGCTGATTGGCAGGTTTTGTACACTCGGCCACAGCTGCTTTGAGTTTGAGCTCAACAGCCCTACCATTTCCAGACTTCACTGCTTTGTTCTGCTCCTACCTGGTCTCTGGCTCTTACGGTCTGGGGGCTCCCTCTCCACAGTGGCCCCTAAGCCTGGGGAGGGGATGCTCTACAGATGTCTTACAGTCTGGGGGCTCCCTCTCTGCAGTGGCCCTGAGCTTGCGGAGGGGATGCTCTTCAGATGTCCCATTTGTGGCAGAGTCCTCCATGGGTACTTATTCCCTCCTCTTTATTCTTGTATCCACCATTATTCGCTGCCCAAAGAACTTCTCTGAGATCTGAGAGCTGCGCTAATCTGCGGGTGGAGAGACATGAATCTAGAGGATGGTTTGGTACTATGTTTGCTTAGCAGAATAATAGTAAGATTTTCAACTTTGGGTCCTATGAGTACCCCAAGCATGGGCTCGTGGCCAGCTTTGCAGTACAGGCTTGGTTTCCTTCTGTGGAACAGGCCTTAAGTTTAATCATAAAGCAGTTGGTTACCCTGTAACACCCATGGGCCTATCTAGCCACGCCAGTCATGGGCTTATGTGGTATCAGGCCACAGAACACAGGACTTCATGGATGCTGGATAAATATTCTGCTGCCTCTTCAGCCGAGACTCCTCATGTTTCTATTTAAACTCACTCCACCTTTTTCTTCAGTCCCCGTGTGACACTTTCTCAACAGTCAGGGTTGGCGAGCAGTGAACGCGTTGTGCTCCTCTGTTCAGCCTGTCCTCAGCCTTTCTTCACATCTTTTTTGAAGTATATACCTTTGATTAATTTTGTCTGATGTGTTAGAAAATAAATAAACACAAGAGTAAAACAATACAATAAAGAAGTCACTAATGCTCCAGTGACTCGGGCCTCATTTTCAACATCTCAGCTGTGGTGAGGAAGCAGGGACAAAATAAAAAGCCGTTGTTTTACCTTCTTGACTGGGGGCCAGGATACTAAAGGATCCACAGTGACTGGCTGGGAAGGCTACCAAAAAAAAAAAAAAACTGACATGTGGGTTGGGGAACATAATCCATATTCTTAGCCTGTATAATCTTTTATGTCTTGAGATTCCTGATCCAGTTTCAAATTATAAAAAAAAACCAAAAAACATAAAAAAACAACAACAACAAAAATGAATGTATGGTCCTGGAAACATCCTATTATTTATATATAATTTTATTTAATTAGTTAATTGTTGTATTTTTGTTTTGTTCAGACAGAGTCTCAGTCTGTAGCCTATACTAGCATGGAACTCATTAGGTAGCCCAGTCTGACTTCAAACTCAAGGCTATTCTCCTGCCTCACCTTTTCAAATGTTGGTATTATAGGTGTGACCCACCACTTCTGGCTGTTAAGTATAATTTGAAAAATAGGCAGATGTTCTATATCAAAGCTGGCCATTACCAGCCTGCAAAAGACTAGGCAGTGCGCCTGAAATGGAGATTGGAGTAGTTTTACATTTTTACCAAAGGGCTCCATGGTGTTGCTCATATCTCAGTGTGCTCAGGAGGAAAGTGGATAAAGGACCAGATTCCTCAGGGCCAGGTGAAGGCGAAAGCAGGAAACTCTCTTGTCCTGGGAGCGGAGCTGGCAAAATGTTCAGAGGAAGATGAAGTCTCTGAGTTTATTTGAAGAACTATGTCAATCACCCCAGGCTGATCAAAACCTATCATAATTTCCAAGTTCTTCAAAAAAAGCAATTCCATGAAGGTTCTTGTCCCCGTCTTGTGATGTCGGGCTATTTTCTTCCCATGTTTCTTTAGTGAAGATAGGTCAGTTGGTTATTAGAACTGGAGAAGGACTGATGTAGGAGGGTCTTCTATCTATCTGTTGCTTTCATTGGTTAATTAATAAAGAAAACTCCTTGGCCTGATAGGTCAGAACATAGGTAGACGGGGAAGACAGAACAGAATTGTGGGAAAAAGAAAGCAGAGGCAGGCAGAAGCCATGAGTCTTCGACCAGAAATGGACGTAGGTTAGAATCTCCCCGGTAAGCCACCACTTCGTGGTGCTACACAGATTATTAAAAATGGGTTAATCAAAATGTGAGAGTTAGCTAGTAAGAGGCTAGAAGTAATGGGCCAGGCAGTGTTTAAATGAATACAATTTGTGTGTTATTTTGGGTGTAAAGCTAGCCCTGCAGGAGCCGGACGGGACGAAAAGCAGGCCTGCTTGCCTCTTCACTACAAAGGACCTCCAAGACAACGGACTGGGGCATTCTGGACTTGTAGCTCAGCTTTTACCCACTAGTTAGCCTTTCCTCCTGGAACCTAGGTCTCCACTTGACCATGAATAATCTAGAACCTTCTATAGATTTTCCACAGGGCAAACTGAAATATGCTAGGCACACCAGGAAGACAAAGCAAAGAGCTATCCGGCCCCAGTGTTGGGCCTGCTGAAAAACAGGAGCACTCTGCTGTGTCCTCAGAAGTACCTCATTACAGTGGAGAAAGAGCAGCCTTGACCGATGGCATGCCTGCCTTGGGGTGCTCAGCACAGTGATGTCATGCCCAGGGGAAGAAAGCCAACAGCCCAGGCTCCCCAGGTAGACAAGGCCAACAGGGTATTGATCTCACAAGCAGATCCAGCCGTTAACACTGAGATAAACAGAAATGAGGCCTTTTATTCAATGACCTTCTAAGTCCTGGGAAAGTTGAGAAGTATCATGTATGTTACAGGGTTCACTTCACACCCTCTGGAGTCCTGGACACCACCAGCAATCACCTATGCTCACCAGTTGGTGAGCACATGGGGTTTCCTCAGCCTCTTTCTTCTATGAGAAACTTGAGAAGCTAGAGATCGGGTGACTTTTGCTAGACTCTTTTTAGGGGCCGGATAGATGACACTACTTTTTCTTCCTCCTCTACGCGCCAACTGAGAACCAAAGCAATAACAATGGTAGTGGAGACTACAGTTTGCCTGTGTTCTGCTGATGTTGAAGATGTAGCTTCTCTCTATGAGCAAAAGGACCTCACAAGAATGAGTGCCCTTCATGGCAATTGACATCACGATGGCTTCTAATGCCCACCTGCTCTGCCCTGCCTGCGCTGCTGCAGCCCACCCTCCCTCATGGTTCCACAGTGCAGGGTAGCTCTGAAGAAGAGAGAGATTGGCATCCACGGGAATTTATGCTCCCTGAGTTTCCTATCAGTCCAAACATTCAGCCTTCTTTAAGCAGAAGGAAAGATGGGTAAGGATGCTCTGTCAGCAGAGGCCCTGCCTCCCAAAGGAGCCATCATCACCTGTACGGTGGGGGAAGTGTACCTCAGAGTTAAACTTGGATGCCTTTCTCCTGTACTGCTAGTCAGTCTAGCACCAGTCAAACAAAACTAATCTTTTGCAGTATGGTAAAGCATGCATGGACAGTGATAATATATGTGAGGATTCATGTGTGCATGCACACAAGTACATATATGTATAAGTTTGTATATCTACATTTGTACTCTCATGCACAAATGTGTGTATGGGTTTTCTTGTGATGCTAATAAGTATGCATGTGCACACATCTGAGTTGTGGGATTTTGTGTATATGTATATGAATTGCATACAAATGAACTGGAGTTGGTGCACATATTTTTGCAAGTGCATACGTACGTGTGTGTTTAAATATTTGTATGAACAATGTGTCTATAGTGTAAACATTTACACTTTTATGTGTCTTGTTTTGGGACCAGGCCTTTGGGTACTTTGGGGTACATATTTGGGTCGATGCTTTTTGGGGTGGCAGTTTGAGACAGGGTTTCTCTGTGTAGCCCTGACTGTCCTGGAACTCACTCTGTAGACCAAGCTGGCCTCAAACTCAGAGATCCACCTGTCTCTGCCTCCCAAGTGCTGGGGTTAAAGGTATGCACCACTACCTGGCCCCAGTAGATGATTTTCAACAAATTATAATTACCACTGACTGCAATGACTTAAAAATTTTATAAGCTAGAAGGAAATATGGACATCTGAAACAATTATGTGCAGTAAAAGATCAAATGTTAAATGCATAAAAGCAAAAGAAGAGGATTGTGTTGGCCTATGGGGCAGAGGGAGTAAGCAAGGTCAGCTTGAGAGGTGGTAGGAGGTGACAGAAGCAGTCCAGGCAAAAGACTTACACAAGCTCAGGACAGACAGACGCATGGACTACACAAGGTCATCTGTGTCAGACACAGAATTGAAAGATGCCGGGTTCTGATGCAGAGAGGGCAGGGGCAGAGCCGGACCTGCCGGACTTTCCCTGGGGCTGAGCGGGAGGGAGAAACACACACACTGAGTGGGGAGTCTGTCAAAGCAGGATCTCATTTAATTATATTAGGTAGGAACTTATATAGGCTGAGATAGGGAATGGGAAGACTGGGATGGGTCAAGGTGGAGCAAGGATCAAGGGCCAATAATATTCTGCCATGTTAACAGTGGCTGGGCATAGGCGGGCCTATGTCCGGTGGTGCTGAGTCACTTCCTGTGCAGAAGTTATAGCCAGAGACAGATCTCCAAACTCGAGCTAGGCTCAGGAAGTTATACTGGACCTCACAAAACTCAAGCTAGGCTTAGGAAGTTACACTGGGTCTCATGCCCAGGCCTCATGAGGCCCAACAGAAAGAGTGTTGCAAGGTGGGATAAAATGGTGTCATTGGATTTTCTTCCTGCATTCCACAGGGCACATGGTGATGCATGGTGGGAGATGACCAATCTGTCGATAAGTCTGGGTGCTGCACCAGGTAACATGACCTTCCCTTGTCATGCAAGGAAAACTGTTCTGTTGGAAAGTAGGGCCAGGGTGATACTAGGGTTTAGGACAGGAGGTTATTACGCTGGTCTAGGGCAGGTGGCTCAACGGCATGAGACAGTCCCATAGCATCTGCAGTGCGGAAACAGAGTCATGAATGCTGGTATTTCATTTCCCTTCCTTTTTATTCGTTCTGGGACACTCCACCCCCCACCATGGAATCATGCTGCTCACCTTCAGGGTGTGTCTTCTCACCTCAATATACTCACTTTAGAAGCTCCCTCATAGCCTCACAGATGAGTTCAAAGATTTGTCTCTCAGGTGACTCTCAGTCCTGTAAACAGTCAATATCATCAACCACAGGGTAAGGCAGATGAATCCAGATGTTTTTAATAAAACTTTAAATAATAAAATAATAATAATAAAAATAATAAAATAACTTTTATTATTTTTACATGTGCTTGTGTGTGTTTGTGTGTATGAATGTGCTTTGTGTGCCCACAGAGGGCAGAAGAGGGAT